GCGCAAAGGCGCTAGGCGCTTGCAGGCGAAGGGTTTATCGCCTTTAACTTACCCAGACGGCTCAAAGTCTCAGAGGCGAGCGCCTTTTGCGCTTATTAGCGCCTTTTGCGCTTCTGAGAGGCGAGCGCCTTTGACGCCTCATGGACTTGCGCTGGTCTTGCAATTCCCTTCTGCGTTTTGTCTTCCTGTCTTGCGCCGGTATTATTCCGACTTCTGCGAGGTAAGTCTTTTTTTTATCTTCTGCTATTTATTCTTTTTTATTTTAAGTTCTTATATTTATAAAAATATTAAAATTATTTAAATAAAAAGTTAGATAACTGATACATATGTAGTATTATCTTTCGCTATATATAAGTTTTGATAGATATTATTATTAACATTTTTTACAAATTTTTATATAACAGTTTATTACATTAATTATTGAAATTACTATTAACAGTTTTTATATAACTTAATGATTTAATTTATCACAGAATGACTATTAATTTATCACAGTTTATTACATTAATTATTTAAATTAATATTAACAGTTTTATAAGTTAATTATTTAATTTATCACAAAATGACTATTAATTTATCACAGTTTATTACATTAATTATTTAAATTACTATTAAAAGTTTTATATAAGCTAATTATGTTTTGAAGTTTTAAGACTGAGTTTTGTGACTTGACTTTTGGCAATTATGCCTTTAAACATATATTTCTTTCTTCTGTGTTATTGTCTTTAATTAATATTTTGTTTCTCTTGTGATGTTTATTAAAACTCCATCATGAGATCATTTTTTTTGCATCATGCCTGTCCCAAGCCAGGATAAAGGAGGAGGGTGCTGTGGTAGGCGCATGACGGCCAACAGTATCACTTAGTCACATCACATGACATGAATCGAAATATGATGTTTATTAAGATTGTTTAATAGTTTGAAGTATTTTTGAGAAGAGTGCTTTATGAAAAAGTACTAAAAATATATTTAACCAAAGAAATGTGGCTGAGATCCGTGAGGCGCGCTCCTCACCGCCTAGCGCCTCGCGCCTCGGGTAAATCAAAGAAATCGCTTCAAGGCGCCTCGTGCCTTTTAAAACCAAGATGAGGACCGGTGGGTTAGAAGTGGGTGGACTGTTATGAGTCGTATGAAGGTCTAATGGAGCGGGGTTAGGGGAGTCTTGTAACGTTGGGGTATGAGTAGTAGGAGACGCCGTTGCTAGTGATGTACCTGAGATAGGAAGATAAGAGATAGGAGGCTGAAGTCAATTGTCAATTTCGGAGGACAGATCTATAACTGGTGTTGGATTGTTAGAGAAAGGGAAGACAGACTCATTGAACACCACATTCCGACTAATGAAGATGCGATTAGTAGTAGGATCAAGACAGCAATAAGCGCTTTGTTGATCGCAATACCCAATGAAAATACAAGGTCTGGACCGTGGTTCCAACTTATGAGCTGCATAAGGACAGAGCCACGGAAAACATCGACATCCGAAAACAGCAAGTTTTGTGTAATTGGAAGGTTTTTGAAAAAGTTATTCATAGGGAGTACAAAAACTTAGAGATGTTGTTGGTGGCCTATTAATTAGATATACAAAAGTTAAAAAGGCGTACGACCAATATTTTATTGGCATAGAGGAGTGGTGAAGTAAAGTGATCCTTGTTTCTACAATATGACGATGTCGGCGTTCAGCGAAGCCGTTATGCTCAGGGGTATATGGAGGAGTCAGTAAGTGAGTAATACCATTTTAATAGATTTTTGAAAAAAGTTTTCTACAATTTTCTTAAATTGTTGAAAAATTGATGTTACCTCGGACTTGCGGGTGATAGTGTAAAACCAAATGTATTTTGTGTGGTGATCAACAAAAATAACATAATAATGGAAACCGTCCACGGAATTAATGCGTGAAGGACCCCAAACATCTGTATAAATTAAATCGAGGGGACCCGAACTTGAAAGGGAAGATTTAGCAAAAGGTAACTTGTGGCTTTTATTACTCGCTTATGAAGTGCACAAGGACAAATCCTTACTAACATCTTTAAAGGAAATACCTAATGAGGAAGTATTTTTTGAGTGATAGGAAGGGCAGGATGTCCTAAACGATAATGCCATTTATTTAGAGAAAATTTTGTAGTAATGTTTACACATGGTGATGAGGGAACAGGAACATCAGGCAAATTGTAGACGTCACCTTTATTCATACCACGCAACAAAATTGCTCCCGTTTTCCGGTCCTTGATAAGACAAAAAGAAGGATGAAACTCGATTAGTACATCATTGTCACGACATAATTTGGTAATTGAAAATAAATTAGTATGAATAGAAGGAACAAAAAGAGTACTAGGTAAGGAGAGAGAATGGAGGGTCATATTCCCAACTTGTGTAATTTCAAGACTTTTACCGTGACCAATAATGAGGAAGTCTGTGCCGGTATAATCGAACATCAGAGTAAGATTGTTTAAATTATTGGTGACATGATTAGTAGCTCCCGAGTCAAGTAAGCATCCGCTTCTCCTGGTCGTGGCAGTATTGGCCTGGGGGGATAATTTTTTTGTTCAAATATGTGCCAACAGTTGATAGCGAGATGGTTCGGTTTGCCACAAATTTGACATATAACAGCACCCGAACAGGTATTTCCCACAAAATTGGTACGCCTGCCCCGGGATTACTATTTCCACGTCGATTTGAATTGTAGAAGTTGCTGGGACGTGGGCCTCGATTCTGATTTTTGAAAAAAAAATTGTTCTGGGTATTGGGCCTGTTGGTTAGATTCTGAAACTGGGCTGATGGACCTGGGCCTAATATAGACTCATTTTGTTCTGGAATCCTGCGAACCATCATTGCGACCGACTTCTCTTCTTCCTCTTTTCTTTCGACAGTCGCTGCGTTCACAGTAACAACAGCGCCAGAATTCAAAACCTTCCCCTCCTTCGCAACTTGTCTTCGAATCTGACCAGTAAGGAGTGGAGTTCTTCAAAATTAGTGTCATCTGGGCTGATGGAATTTTCTATCGATTCAAACTCGGGACGAAGATCCTCCAGGGTTTGAATGCCAAAATCTTCATCGTCAATAAGTCGACCGGCCATGGCCAGTTCATCCGCGGGGGTGCGAAGGTGATGAAGATGTTATGCTACAGGTTGCGACCCCTGTTTAGCATGGCGGAACTGGTCTTTCAGGCTTCGAATTTTGGAAGCTGATTGGGTCCCGTATAGGCATTCCAATGCCTTCCAGACGGAGGCGGAGGTCTTTGCAGACCCAACTAGCGGTTTGCAAGCAAAACTGAGAGAAGATATAAGAGTGTGCCGCACCACATGATCCTGTCTCTTCCATCGCAGAAGGTTGGCAGCTTCACTTTCCGGAGGAGGACCGATTTTTTCATCAATATACTGATCCAGATGAGACCCGAACAGAAGGTCCATTACTTGGTCTCTCCATACAAGGTAATTTGATCCATCTAGTTTTTCTGGGAATTGGTTAGGGCTGAGCATAATAAGGTCATCCGGGGCTAGGGGATTATTGACGGAGAGAGATGATGTTGTGTTATCATGAACGTCTTCTGGATTTTTGTCTTTGTTATCTTCATTAGCCATGGGCAGAGGTGGGAAGAGAAAGGTGATGCTGGTAGAATAGTTCGATGAAGAGAATAGGCCGATTAGGCCTCTAGTAGCTCTGATACCATAATGGAATTTAGAATAAGGAAGAGTTGAGACCGAAGAACTTGATTTATTCCATGAAATGATTTGCTATTTATACAATATTCTAGGGATCAATAAGGTAGGTTACTAATAATAATATTAAATACAAATATTTTGTAACTGACAACTCTAATTAATTTTGTAACTGGTGTCTAGACTTTTCTTTGTCTAGACTCTTCTATAGAGGAGGCCTCAGAGTTGGATCTCAGAAAGCAATATTCATTACTTCGGTATCAGCAAATTCTATATCTATAGTCCAACATCAACATCCATTAAAAAGATTTTGACTGTAAATTGCATGTTTTCTATAATTGCATCCAATGATAGACCTAAATGCTATCAAAACTACAAAGGTTAACCGATCATCTCCCAATATTTGATAGGCTCGACTTTTAGATGAATAGAGTTTGTAGAATATATATAAGAACTTCCAATAGCCTAGATCATAAAAGATTTTGAGATATCAATACAATTTCGGACTCCTTGGAGTCGGTTGGGGTGTTGAGCAAGACATTTGAGAAAGAACAATTTGTTTCAGGACAATTTAACAAAGAGGCAAGGGGGATAATAATCAAGAAAGAAGCTTATACTATATGAAATTACATGAAAATGAAGAAACATAAATTAGAAAAAGAAAGAAAGATGTGAAATATCAAAAGGTATTCCGCAACAAGATTACTTGCTCAACAGCCTAGAGCTGCCCAACTTCAATGAGTGCAATAGAACTAACCTCTCAATGCTTTATGTGCTAAAGGAAGTTTGTATTCTACATCATAATCATCATAATTACCCCAGTGCCGCAAAGGGCTCCCACCTACGGTGGGGTAAAGGGAGGTTGGATGTACGCAGCCTTACCTCTGTACTATAGCATAGAGAGACTGTTTCAAGATGACCCATAGTGAAAATCACGTCGAAAAATTGAATGGACTGATTGTTACTTCATAACAAAGAGGCGTAGACAGTTTAGTGAGCCATTTTTCTTTATTTCATCATATTCCTAAGCCAAAAAATAGTGACTCTTTGGCTCCATTGCAAATGATGTGAAAATTTTGTATTCTACACATTGTGTAAATAAGGTAGCTAAGCTAGTAAGTTGATCGAAGAATTATATGAATTAGTATATATGTATCTGATCCCCAGAGTCAATCTGAGCCCTGAAATCTGTTTATTGATTGTCTGCCTTTACTTTGCTGATTTTCCTTGATTTCCTTTGTCTCTATCAAAACTAGTGCAGATAAGGAAGGTATATATCAGTGGTAATAGTGGTTCATGATAACTGTTACTATTCACCAATCATTGCATGACATTACTCCTCAGTACCTGAATAGAGAAGAGATCAAGATCTTGGCCAAGTCGGCGGTGATCCCTTCGCTTAGCTTCCTCTTTGAAATGAGTATATGCTTTTAATTGGTCTTCAGTCTCCCATGCTGTACCATAAATCCTTTGGAGCACTGGCTTGCTTACATCTCCTCTCCAGTAAGCACCAGCAACAGATTCAAGTTCAAAAGCGTTCCTGTCAATATTGCCAGTAGATTCAACATGAGGCCCAGCACAAAGATCCCACCATTCATGACCTAAAAGAAGTGCACCATGTTGTGAGTATTAAAAGGCCAAAAAGGACAACGTTTGTGAGAAGCTTGTACCAAGTACCATACAGGGTTTTCATAACTCATAAGGAAGATATACATCATGTTGCGAGAAGCAATGAAAATGAAACAAATGAACTCTGCACGAAATTTAAGAGAAGTGACTTTTGTCTCCAAGTTCAATACTTAGTCATTGTTACTTAAAGTTTGGTCATTAATGAGTGCAGCTATAGAGTTCACTTTTTGTAACAATAGTCATCCAAAAGAGTACCTGGTATCAACATATAATAAGGACTCAGGTTCCTCAGGAACTGGAATAACTTCACCATTAGTGGAGGTCCGGATGAAAAGAAAAAAATCAGCCCTGACATTCCTAGTATGTATTTGATCACATAGCAGAAATGGAGCTATAGCAACTGAAAACAACAAGCACTCCATAATCATAAAGTGGATCGAATCTTTGCACATCTTGCTTTTACGGTGATAGCAAAGCCTTATGATGGGTTACCACAAAATCTAGGACTTGCATTATCTGAAGATTTTGTGGTTCCTAGAAGTTTGCAATTTAAATAATAAAGAAAGACTCTTTTTACTTGATATTTACGTGAGGACTGTTGCAGCTAGGAACAAAACTCTTTACTAAGAATTCATTTTAAATATGACCCGAGTGTCAGTAGGCCACATTAGACTAGTTGACAATATTAATGTATTATACAATGGAAAAATTACGAGACTGCCATATAAACTTGTCTATATCATTAAATTTAGTCATTAACCTTCATTTTTTCTTGTGTTTCAACTCTTACGCATGTACTAATGCAGTGACTCCAGAGATGAGCTGTTTAATCGACTGTCAAATGCACACTGACTACAAATGGGGCCAGTAAATGCTTAAATGCATCCACGTGATGTCATATACATAACTAATAATCCCTCCACCCCAATCTTTTCCTCATTATTTCCTTTTCTATCTGTGTCAAAATAATCTTTCAAGGAAAGCAATAAGTTGTTGACATTATTTCTTTATGTTCAAATGAAACATCAACCACACAGTTCCTGCTTTCTTAAAAGTTATACCAAGTAAGAACAAGAGATAATAAAGGGGGCGGTGAAAATTGAAAGTACATATTATGTGTTTAAATGATAAAAAATTGATAGAGAAGTAAGTAGGGTATATGAAGCCAACACAGCTATACAAGAAGATGCTAATAAGATAAGAAAATTTGCTCATTATGATTTATGACATGCAAGATAATGAAGGATATTGAGAAGATCATATGGATCACTTAGCAACTCATCGGCAAGTGACACCATATTGGTACCCATCTAAGAATTGAAAGAGTTGCAGAAAAATGAAGTTTTGAAATAGAAAATAGAGTGAATTACCTAAATATGAGTAAAACATACCCTAAATTCACAAATAGGATTATATTATTTTAAATTCCCTAAATAGGACTAATTATAGGTGTTTGGTCAATTATACCCCAGTCCCCAGCCACCTTCCCAGCCTTGCTGCCACCAGCCTCCAGCCGCCACTGATCTGCTCCGGCAGCCGTTCTGCCCCTGCCGCCGCTGCTGGTCGCTGGAATCCACTGATCCTATGGTTTGGGTAATTCACCTATCATACCAACTTTCACTACAACATCTTGTGACCCACTAACTTGTATGTTACCGTTTGTTGAATCATCATTATTAGCTTGTCGATAATGTGACTGTTCTGTGCACTTCATAAAAGAAAGACAGATGTCCCTCACCCATGATTCAGAACTTGATTTTATCAAAGCATAAGAACTGCAAAGATAGATTTCAGGAGTTAACTCGGGTATCCTTTATGAAATGCATAAACTTTTATTGAAGAAAGTAGCAGATATGACATGGCTCTCTCCTTCACCGTGTAGATAGAAAAGGATATATGTATACAAGCACATAACCACTGCATTTTTTGAAGAGATTATATCCAATATTTGAACACATAGGTAAAGGGTCGAGATTCAAGAGATTGTCACTGGCCACTAAATGAAATATCTCCTTTACAACTTCAGTTATGGAGAGTTTAAATATAAAAAAGCGATAAAAAACAAAATGGTCAATTCACAGGAAATGGATCACTGCATAATCTAACAACTCATTACAAAAAGCAAGCATGATGAAACACAAGTTAACATGGTAGGCAGAAGTTGTGAGAAATGCAGTTCATAATATGTTTAAACGTTAAATAATGGTGTGCCATACCAATATGATAAATGGTTATAGGATCCTCCTTAATACTATCCAAAATCTCCATCTTGTAAGGTTCACTTATAGCCATTATTCTTTTCTGGGCTTCAGCTCTAGTTACTTCTTCCCTAATGACAGGCATGTTTCTTCTGATTATACGATCCTACAAATGACATCATATAAATCAGTATCTAGATTATAGAAACCTGGTCCATGAAGGTGATCTTACATGTGCTCAACAGCTCGTCTACCATATCCGTCTCAAAAAATAGAAAACGAATAGAAATTAGGTCAACTCACCATCTCCTGCTTTATCCTCTTGAGGTCCCCATTAGTCAGAGGCTCCATATCAAAATCATAATAAAACCCATTCTCGATCCAAGGACCAATGGTTACTTTTGCATTTGGATAGATCTTTTGAACAGCCATGGCCATCACATGAGCACACTGTACCAATACATTAAGTAGGTAATTGAGTGTTCAGCTGGAGATGCCAAACCAGGGTATGGTTTAGGATTCAGGATATGGGTTCTTGGCCTACACTTGCTTTATTTGAGAAAATTCTCAACCACAATAGGTTGAATTGAATATAAAACTATCAGAAAAACAAAGTTCATGTTACAGTTAGTTGCACAGATGAAATGGCTTGACACTGGACATATTTACACTCCTTGAGATTTCCAGGTATCAAACAAGAAAGATTTTATAGAAGAACCTCAAGGTTTATTATTGTATAATATTACGCCATGCACTAAACAAGAAAATCCCTATCTGTTACTAGATTCATTTCATATTATTACACTAGTACTGAGAAAATATAGAGACTCGGGACTCCATCTCTATTCAAATTTATTGAAATGGATGAAATAAAGATACCGTGTGGCGAATTCTGAGGAGACTCTCAGACGACTCGTGAGTAGGTAGAATGACTTTCTCCCTCGGCGCACTACTTTCAGCCTCAGCAAGAGATTCCACGTGTGCTGCGTGGGAGGAATCTGTATCGGGGAGACCGGTGAAGGAGGCGGATGAAGCTGTGGAGATACGCCTGAAATATCTTAGCCTTGACGCAGCTAAGCTCGAGTGGTGTAATACCAAGATGGTACTCCCGACTTGGCGGCGTTTTGTGAGGGAATAGAAAATTGAGTTTGGAGCAAGTGCTTCGAGGGAAAGAGAAGATGACAGTGATAAAGTGGCCATCTTTTGGAGGATGTGAATGTTCTTCATTGGTCTTCCCTCCCCCTATGGGACGGATGCCTTGGCCTACATAAAGGCTTAGGGGCTGTTTGGAGGGAGTGTGGAGACATGTGAGTATTGCAAGTGTTCGGAGGTGTAACTTGTAAGCAACTAATATATTTTTCGGAAAGTAAGTATACTTATAGTAGACCGCGAGTACAAATATATCACTCTTTTATTTTTCGGAACAAATATATTCATGAAGTATATGTCAAAGTAAATATATACCCCTAAGCTATTCTTATGAAGGAGCAAATTTACTCGTATTGGGAAAATAAATTTCAAAAACGATAAAAATAAATTATAAATTCGAAATTTAAAAATAAAGATTTGTTATTATGTTAAAATATTAACTCTTTAATTTTAAATTGCAAGATTATTTTTTCCTTTGTCAATGAAGCACTTCAAATTCATAAATATTAATTTTAGTCTTATTGTGAAATTTTGAACACATTATTACATTTTTTGAAATATCATTCTTTGACTTTGTTTACCCTTAATAAAATAAAATTCATTATTTTGTAAACTTGGACTATTCTCATACAAAATATGTAGTTTTATAGTGCAAAAAATGCAAAAAAAAATAATATATTTTTTACATTGCAACACATAGTTAAAAATTTTTAGAAAGAATATAAAATGTATACGTAGTAAAGTTTTGAAACAATATTTTATACTAAAAATATTAATTTATGATATAAACAAATAAAAGGGAGAATTGTAAACAAGTACATTTTTAAAAAAAATTAATTTCAAATTCATAATTTATTTTTGGTGTTTTTTGAAATTTATTTTATCAATTTAAAGTCAATAAGGGTACATTTTCTCTTTGATAAGAACATGAAGGGTATTTTTGCACTTTTTAAAAGTTCAGCAGTATATATGCACTTTCACATATACTTCAAGAGTATATTTGTTCCGGAAAATAGAATAAGGATATACTTGTTCTCACACTTATACTACATGAGTATAATTGTACTTTTTCCCAATAAAAATGCCTTGTTTGGAAGTGTTTTCATTTATGAATTGACAAAAGTGTACTTATATCCTTCAAAAAGAATGAAGCTATCTATATAATAATCTATATAATATAATATATAATACTCTGTATATAATAACAAAGCAAATTCTTAGAGAGCTCTTTAAATGATTTTTTAACTTGTGGCGACATCCTTTATAAAAAAGTGATATGTGGCAACACCATAAGAGAAAAACTATTCAACTTCCAAAACTCCACTCGTATATATTTCAATATACTTTATATGTATAATATATATCATCCTCTATTATCATATACATATGTTGTTCTAAACAATACATATAATAAATAACCGATTGTTTTATCAACCGAATTGCATGTGAACTCATCAATCACATTTTAAAAGAATTCACTTGATTATAGATACATCTTTCAAAATCAATCGAAATCCATCGGGCTAGCTCGTTTCATGGTGTCTTAGAGTTATCATTTTTAAAACCCGATTAACTCACCGGTTTTGTGGGTCAACATGCACGGTTTGTGGATTAAATGGGTTGACCATGCAAGTTGTGATTTGGGCGGAATACAAACATCTAATTTTGACGTTCATTGTGCTCAATATTAAACGTTTACAACCAAACAAATTATTTGCTATTATACAGTTATAATTTTAGAACCTTTATTGAACTATAATTTCTATAATAATTATTCAAATAATTACCCCAACAAAAACATGGAGTATGAAAAAAATAAAAATAAAATGTTAAAAAAATTAAAATTAAAATGTAAAGCTTTTAAAAGATGTAGAATATACAAATAACTCCATACCCGGAAAATATATGTTTTGACATTCTTACTTTTTTAAAAAAAAATTCTATTTTGTTTGATTTTTAAATTTCATAGTTCTTTCAAAACATAACATGCTATAACAAGTCAAAAACCGGTTCAATGATCGGTTTGATATATTTTTTAAAAGTACTTACTAATGTGGTACATTTTACTATATAGGCTTAACTAATTATAAGAAATGGTTGTTTCCTTCCATGCTCTTTATAAGTTATCTCTATTCATTTTCAAACTATGATTACTATGTAGTACTTGGTAATACTACCTCTATCTCCCTAACATTAGGACAAAAGAGAGTGATGCAACTTTTTTTCGAAAAAGGGAAATTATGTAATTGATAAAGTGTTCACTCCCCTCTGAATGAGTATAATCCTAGGAACCTTTTGAGAGGTTTAGGATTGGCAACGGAAGTTTTTATCTTTTTGGACAAACACACCGGAAGTTTGGTGAAGACTGACTTTTGAGTAGGAACTGTTTTCTGGAAATTTTTTGAGGCTTTTTGTTGATGGTTAGTGGCTTTAAATGTTATGACGCACAGATGTATCCTCGTTCGGAGGTGGTGTAATCCTCTTACATCCAGTCCCACCCTATAGATGGATTTCCACTAAGCTATTTGACCAATGGACTTAGTGACTAGTTTACCCTTGATCACAGGTGTAAACTATCAGGTTTTCACTAGGAGTACACACCACTCCAAGTTACTCTAGCCTCTAGGTTTTTCACTAATGAATCAGTCTGATTCAAAAGTTACTCATGTCCTATTCTACCCACTCTTTGGATTTGCAGCACAAATTCTTTCCAAAGGTGTTACAACTTTTCCACCAACTATTCTAAGCTCTAGTATGAATATTTCATTGTGAACTAGTCTAAGAGCTTAAAGAAATGTGAACGAGCCAAGAGTAAAGTGATGGATTAGCACTTTATCTTTTGCAGGATATTCTGAGTGTGATTTCTTCGTTTGCACTTAAGCTTGCTGAATCTTCTTCGTCACATTCCTTGATTATTTATAGACTTTGAGTTTGTTAAATATCTCCCGTTGGCTGAGGAGATTCAATCTTGATCGTTGAAGCATCCACTTGATCTTCAGTATGTCCTCCTTTTGTTTTGATTGGAGTAGCCTGTGTTGCTAGTTTTGTTTTCTTGTTTGAGTCCATGCTTCCAGTTGTATGTGATCGTATGGGTTGACTCTATAAAGCAAAACATCTTTCAGTCAACTTGCATATAGAAGTATGGGTTGTCTCTGAAATATTCTGCAGTTCCACTTGTGTATAAGAGTATGGGTTGTCTCTGAAATATTCTACAGTTCCACTTGTATATAGTCTCGTGACTCTAAAAATGTCCAGAATGCCTTTAGCTTTTCTGTTGCAGTTTCGAGCTTTTCTGGTGTAACTCTGAGGCTTTCTGTTGTTTAATGTTGAGGTTCTCTGTTGTCGGCATTTGAGGTTCTCTGTTGTCGTTACTGAGGTTCTTTGATGTCAGTATTGAGGTTCTCTGTTGCTGAGGTTCTCTGATCTTGAGGTTCTCTGTTACTGAGGTTCTCTGATCCTGAGGTTCTCTGTTATTGAGGTTCTCTGATCCTGAGGTTCTCTGTTACTGAGGTTCTCTGATCCTAACAGAATACCTCGAGACTTTCTGTTGCAATACGACTTTTTCGATCTATTCTGTTGGGATCAGAATACCTTGGTTTCTGTCACTGACTACCTATGATTCTTTTCTTTTTTACTGGCACTTCTTCTTCAGAGTTTATGATCAAGTGTTTTTGTCTATAAACTATGCATCATCAAAATCTTAGAGGGGTCTAACAATTTCCTCCTTTTTGATGATGTCAAAACTAACAAAGAAAGTAAATGTTTTAGAAAGTACCACTTTGGTTCATGCTTCTTTTTGCAGATTGATTTCTTGTTGAGTCGCGTTTCTTTCTTTCTTACTGAGTTGCTTTTCTTTCTTGCTTCCCCATTTTTGGCATCATCACGAATACCTTTTTATGTAGCTCTTTTGGTGTAGAAGAAGCTCTTTGTGTTGACTGGTTCCCCCTTAATGTGATTCCCCCTGAGTATCAGCTCTAGACTGTGCTTTTGTCTGAATAAGTTACCGATTACAGGGTGCTCTTACGTTCTTAGGACGCTGTACAATTACAGGATGCTTCGCAAGAGAAGTAAGACGCTTATAATCAGTAGACTTGTCTGTTTGCTCATGAACTGTGGCTATCAATCATACCAAGTTCTTGTCTAAGCGTGTTGAATCTGTTTTCACTTAGAGCCTGGGTAAAAATATCAGCAAGTTGGTTTTCAGTGGGAATATACTCAAGCTTTATATCGTTCTTTTCAACATGCTCTCTGATGAAGTGATGTCTGATATCAATATGCTTGGTTCTGGAGTGCATGACAGGATTGTGAGTGATGTAATTGCACTAGTGTTGTCACATAGAATCTTGATTTCCTTTGCCTCAACTCCATAATCCAGTAGTTGTTGTTTCATCCAAAGGATTTGGGCACAACAACTTCCCACAGCAATGTATTCAGCTTCAGCTGTGTTGGTGGCAATGGAGTTCTGTTTCTTGCTGAACCATGATACCAGTCTTCCTCCTAGCATTTGACAGGTTCCTGAAGTACTCTTTCTGTCTGTTTTGCACCCGGCGAAGTCTGGATCTGAGTATCCAAGTAGCTCAAAGTTTCCATTGCTGGGATACCACATACCAGAATTTGGGTTTCCTTTTAGATATCTGAGAATTCTTTTTGCTGTGAAAAGATGGCTTTCCTTGGATTGGGATTGATATCTTGCACATACTCCTACCGAGTAAGAGATATCTGGTCTACTTGCGGTTAGGTATAGCAGAGATCCAATTATACCTCTGTATAGTGTAGGATCAACATTCTTGCCATCCTCATCGGAACCCATTGTTTGGGATGTGTTTGTTGGTATTCTTACTGACGTTTTTCCTTCTACCCCAAATATGAGAATTAGGTCTCTGGTGTACTTAGCCTGATTGATCAGTGTTCCCTCCGCAGTTTGCTTCACTTGTAATCCCAGGAAGTAATTTAGCTCTCCCATCATGCTCATTTCAAACTTTGATTGCATGAGAGCAGAGAACTTTATGCAGAGAACTTGGTTTGAGCATCCAAAGATTATATCATCAAAATAGATTTGTACAAGAAGAATGTCTGGCCCATCTTGA